GCCTGAGGGGCCACGCCCCAGTCTCTACATGTACCCATAGACTTTCACCATGAGACTTGGCTTTTAATATTGTGCTTATTCTGAGCAGTAATATCCAGTAAGTAGAGCTCCCATGTGTCCTCACAATGTGTTCTGTTTGGGGACGTGACCTGTCTGAGGGTTTTCTATGCACCTTCTGAGATTTTCAAGCCCCTTAAAGGCTAACAAAACACGTAGATGGTATCATGAGTTTTCGCCTACATGTTTTGTAAGTCTTCAAGGTGCTGCTAAACTATTCATTGTTTTCAGTTTTTTCAGGGAAGAGGGTCAGGGTCAAACCAGAGCCAAGAGCTAATACAGCAGCAGATCCAGAGTCCACTCAGATGCTCAGACAAATTCCTGCATTTAAGTAACCGCTGAAGCAGCAGTGCAGGGGGGAAGGAGGTTCCCCAGGAATCGGTATGCATAGGGAGCCCAGGCTCATCGGTTAACTGTGCACACGGTTACACTTTCACATCCCTCGTTAGCCCTTCCCTGCTGGTGCCAGAGAGCTGCTGGGTAGCAGTGATGGTCTGGGTACCACTGGAGAACACTCCCCCACCCCCGAGCTGTATTCAAACCCTGCAGTCCCTAATGATATATTCCAGACCACCATTCGCAGCAAGCAGAGAAGTGTAAAGCAGCTCTGCAGCAGAAGCAGTAAATAGCAAGATACCCTTCAAATCCCTGGCACCCAAAGAAATATCCAATTCCTCTTTAAACAATAATAAACAATCCTAGTTCCTTTTTTATGGCTCCATGGTCAGCCCTCCCTGCAGTGCCACCTACTGGTAAAAACAAAATGGTTCAGTTCTCAGAACGGACCCAGAAAAAGCACTTGGACGTTTCTGTTGGTTCATCTCCTCTCTCTTTCTTTAAGAGCCGACAAGACGTTAGTTCTTTAGCGATACCTCAAGGTACTCCCAAGCATTCCAAGAACCAGAGCCCTCTGGAATCCTAAGTAGCAAATTTAAAAACAAAACGAGCATGGAGAAATGTTTCCTCCTTTTTTTAAAAACAAAGTTTTCCCCTAAAGCTCATGTTTTGCAAACAGCTCACAGTCTGATTTTTTTTCTTGTTTATGCTACATAGTCTGTCTGATGAGTGACATGAACTACAACTGAAACAAATTCCAATCAGTTTTCAGAAACCCTAGGCTCCTTTGGGGCATCTCAAGCTGGCCATTCAAAAAAAATCAGAGCATCTGAAATCACTACAGGTTGGACCTCCCTGATCTGGCACCCCCGGGACCTGACCTGGACCAGGGAAGGTCAGCCCCTGTGCTGAAGGACTCTGGGCTCTCCTGGGGTCTGTTAGCAGATCACCAGAGTCCATTACTCAGGACAGCCAGGGCTCCACTGCCAGCTGCTCCCTGCTAGGGATCTCTGGTCATGGGACTCTCTGGTCCAGCAACATCCATGATCCTGCCAGACCACAGATATTGCCAGACCAGAGAGTCCTGGACCAGAGGGGTTCAACCTGTAGTCACTTTTGAAAGCCTTGGCTGAAATTTCACTTTGAGGCTAATTTCCATAAATGCTTCCAAGCGAGAAGCATCCTCCATTGACTTCAGTGGAGCTATAATTTGTATTAGTGAGGATTTACCCTTAGATGTACTCAGGGAGAAAGAGTATTCCAGGCACATGACTAATAATCAGTTCTAGACCCTAATCTGCCCAGACTTGCTGCATGACCTTATAAAATAGGGATATTATTATTATTAATACCTTCTTGTCTGATAAGGGGGGTGTGCAATTTAAATTCATTAATGCTCATAAAGAGCTTTGTGATCCTGGGATGGATGGTGCCTATCACATTGCAGGGACCACCGAGCATAAACTACAACTGGTTTAGTGCGTTGAGCCATGTCTGGGATCCATGAGCACTGAGTCATGGCCTATGCCGAAACCAGCTGCTCTCTGCTGGACTTTACGAGATGACAAAGTGTGTTTGCTTGCTTTAGACTTTCACTGATTGGTTTCTGTTTCCTTTATGCCCCACGACTTAATTGTCAACATATTTTTGGCAGCAGCAGCGGGTGACTTATCCAACAAGTCATCCTGGGTGGCTAATGCAGTTTATGTTTTAATATTTGTAATGATTAGTGCCCGGCTGCCATGGTAACAGGTGCCGTATAAATTAATGAATAATATTTATCATTTCCTCTTGCTCACCTCCTGCTGTGAATCGCCCAAGCCCCATTCTGACCTCCCCTTTCCATCCTTCACACCTTCTGCCTCCCCCTCCTCCACTTAGTGCAGCCTTCCCACTCTTCATTCAGACTCCAGAGGAAAACACTCTGCAGCAAAAGCCTGGATTTTCACCACCTCCCAACTGATCCTCCAGCCAGTGTTTTATACCTACCTCTACTATATGGTCAGCATCTGATCCAGGATCCAATTCTGCAGCTAGAGGTGCTGAAGCAATTTGTATAGTAAGGGTGTGGAGAGCCTTTGAATCAAACTGGAAAGCCTGTAAGTTACCTCCGGCACCTATGCCTGCAGCACTTACTAATGTGAGCCATCCCACTGAAGTAAATTCATAAGTTTTATGGAAAAGAGGAACTGGCCCTTTGATTTTAAGGAACCCAAGACAGGGAATGTCTTCTTTGTATAGCTCCAGTGCATAATAAATAGGGACAAAAGGACATGCCAGATGCTTCTGGGTTGGGAGGCATTATGGCACATCTACATCTCAAGGTATGGAACTGGTGTTAATCGGTTTCTAAAGATGGATCATGCCAACGCATCAGTTCTCACAGTAATTCTGCAGGAAACACATAATTTTTGTATGGAATTGCCAAAAGTACCGTAGCAGCTGCAAATACAACAAGGTCCCTGGGCTTCCAAGTTCCATGACATTCAATAAAGTTAATTTCACTTAGTCAAAGAGGCCAAATACTGTTTTCTGTTATGCAGCTGGAATGCATTAACAGGAATGTTGTGAGCAAGATGTGAAAAGTCATTCTTCCGCTCTACTCTGCACTGATTAGGCCTCAATTGGAGTACTGTGCCCAGTTTTGGGCACCACATTTCAGGAAAGATGTGGACAAATTAGAGACGGTCCAGGGAAGAACAACAAAGTATTAAAGGTCTAGAAAACATGCGATCCAGGGAAGAACAACAAAGTATTAAAGGTCTAGAAAACATGACCTACTACAGAAGACTGAAAGAAATGGGTTTGTTTTTTAGTTTAGAAAATAGAAGACCAAGAAAGGACATGATAATAGCTTTTAAGTGCCAAAAAGGGTGTCACAAGGAGGAGGGAGAAAAATTCTCTATAACCACCAATGACAGGACAAGAAGCAATGGGCTTAAATTGCTGCAAGGGAGGTTTAGGTTGGACATTAGGAAAAACTTCCTAACTGTCAGGGTGGTTAAACACTGGGATAAATTGCCTCTGAAAGTTTTGGAATCTCCATCATTGGAAATACTTACAAGCAGGTTAGACAGACACCTATCGGGAATGATGCAGCTGGTGCTTGGTCCTGCCATGAGGGCAGGCCTCTAGTCTTGATGACCTCTCGAGGTTCCTTCCTGTCCTAGTTCAATCTTGAGTGCCCATGCTAGAGTTGTTCCCCAGTTTCGCACCAGTGTAACAGGGACACAATCTAGCTTTGACAGCCTTAGCAGATGAAGCATTTCTCAAGTAACAAGAACCAAATAAAGATAAGTTGTTACTGCATTTCTTGCTCTGTTTGGTCTCCCCAGGGGAAGAAAATGCATACAACGGCCTAAGAAGCCCGCAACAGAGCCAGGTGGGTGGACAGCGAGACCTCGATCCTGCAACCTGCTACAGGCATGGAAGGCTCTAATGCAAGTGCGAGTAGTGCAACTCTCAGGCATGTGTAAGGACAGCAACCTCCAGGCTGACGGGTAGCAAGGTGCAAGGCATGCTCCCTAATTCATAGAGATCAAGGGGGTAGGTTGGGGGTGAAGAGAGGATGAGTCCGAAGCAGCATGGGTTTCAACGTGATCCTCATTGTGCTAAAATAAGGTATCAAGTTAAGCCCTCCTCTTCCTGGGTTATCCCTGCTGCTCCTAGGCAGGAGTAAGCTGGCAGCAGTGTACTCTTCCCTGAATCGGGCCCAGTCTGTTCCTAAACTGCAAAGCTAAGCTGCATCTGCCTTATTCACCCTTTATTAACCAGGTGTTTCTAGGCACAATTCTTCACACCTGCAGTGGGCAGAATCAAACTCATGGGCTACGTCTACACTGGCACCCTTTTCCGGAAATGCTTAAAACGGAACAGTTTTCCGTTATAAGTATTTCCGGAAAAAGCGCGTCTACATTGGCAGGATGCTTTTCTGGAAAAGCACTTTTTCCAGAAAAGCATCTGTGCCAATGTAGACGCGCTTTTCCGCAAAAAAGCCCCTATCGTCATTTTCGCAATCGGGGCTTTTTTGCGGAAAACACTACTGTGCTGTCTACACTGGCCCTTTTCCAGAATAGTTTTCTGGAAAAGGACTTTTGCCTGAATGGGAGCAGCATAGTTTTTCCAGAAAAACACTGACAATTTTACATTAGATCGTCAGTGCTTTTCCGGAAATTCAAGGGGCCAGTGTAGACAGCTGGCAAGTTATTCCGGAAAAGCGGCTGATTTTCCAGAATTCCGGAAAAGCAAGCGGCCAGTGTAGACAGCTGGCAAGTGTAGACACAGCCTCAGAGAAAAAGCACTCCGCTTGCATCACAGGCTATACCCACTCCCACCGCAGCCCTCCTGAGTTCCCAGAGCAATAAACACACCAGTCACCTGCAAGGGAGGCAAAGAAATTCAAGAGCTGAAAATCCTCTGAGCTTCTATTAAGGAAGGGGTAGGGGTGGGGTGGGGAGGGGAGAGAGACACCAACTGTCAGGTGGAATTAATAGAGACCTAGTGACCAGTCTTAGGAGTCAGGCCAAATGCAGTCCCTGCCTCAGATGGCATCCAAGATGACCCACCGAGTTACTAGCTGCTGGCCTGAGAATGGATAACACACTTACCACATTCCAGAAAAGAGGGTTAAAAGCAATGCAAAGGACCGCAGCTGCGAAGGTGGAGTCACTCAGTTTGACATAGCCAAGTAGTAGTGTCATGGTGGACAAATCAACCTGGAGGGAAGGAACAAAGTTAGCAGGGGTGTAGTCTCGCATTGTCCCTAGCTAGCTTCTAGACTGCAACTCTTAGAAGGCTGAATACAGAGCGTTTAGCAAGAGGCCTAGGAGAAGGGTAAGTCAATTTCCTCCGGCTAGTAAATCTACTGCAGTGCACCAATGCCACACACAAGTCTGTAAGTCCTAGCACTGTGCATTTTGGTCCAATGAACTCCCACAAGCGAAGCAGGGCTAGAGCGAGTCGGGACATTTAAGAAACTTACAGAAGGCACCTCCGGGCTGGGGACACTATGGGATGTTGTGCTGCTGGAAGTGCTCAGAAAGGAGAGAAAGTTGAAATCATGAAGAAGCCAGGGCTTGATTTCTTTATTTTGGTAATATT